TCTGGGATTTGTTGCCGCCGTGATAGGTTGCTATTGTGTTTGTCTCAATGGGAGGCAAATCTTGAGTAGCAAGCAGTTTTGCCAACAGGTGACAATCTTTTGATAGGAAATAGGTGGAGCAGATATCTGAGGCGTTATTTGCTGGGTATGCTGGAGGGAGTTCCTTCAGGTTTGGGGTGTCTTCCATCACCGTGTTCGGACTTTGAGGAACTTCCCATGAATTCTTTGACATGGTGCCTTTTTGCCTAATCCGGCATAGGACCCAGTCATCCAACTGCAAGAGATGGGCCAAAATTTAGCCACAGTTGATTTGATTGATGAAAGTGATCCTCTTGTATATTTCCAAAGTCGTTTAAAATCGAAATAAAAACTATTGCATCCAACCGCGTTTCAGGGCTTAAAAGAGAGAGGACTATACTTCTAGAAAACTAAAACCGTAAACAATCCCTATCGTTTTCTGGCTCTTGGCGTTGCTTCTACAATAATTGTAGCCTTTTTCATGAATCATGATATGGAGAACACAGCACAGTTATCGTCTAGTTCTCATGCATTAACAATAGGCAATATGAATGAGCAGATCAATGTATTTAGCCAATTACTTACCCTCATGGACCCTTTAGACCTTGATGGCTTTTTATGGGTGTCAGGAAGTCGGTACTCGATCATGATCCAGTCCGTCTTGACTCCGTTCAGAGGTTTTCCGATGTAGAAGACAAGAGATTTCTTGATTCCTATTCTTGCTCCAGATGAACTGAGAATAGGTTTGTCAGTTCCAGTAGCCCTCCAATATCCTGAAGCTGCCGTCCTGTTAGGCTGTGCACCATTTGGGTACTTCCGGTCCCTCGGCTGAAGAAGTACCATTCTTCCTCTCCAAACAACGCCTTCTCTGTTCATTCCAAATATGAAAAGTAAGTCGTGATCCCTCAATAAAACTACTGAATAGGAAATAGTTTGTACAAATAAATATCTGAGTAGATAAGTTGGAGAACAAACTTGGCAAGTCCCAAGGATTATGGCTGTAAAGCTCGATTTCGCCTACAACAGCAGCTGGCAGTGGACGAGAATTCACTTTGTTGTGGAGATAAAAAACGATGAGCTCTTCGTCAGAAGGATGGAATCTGACGCCAGGAGGAAACTGGAAGCTAGAAATGGGTTGTGTCTCCATTGAAACAAGTTCCCGGATTCTATTTGCCTGGTGATCAGCAGGCTGGCTGCAAAGCACAAAGACCGGTGATGGACACACATATATAGATAGCAGTCATATATAGATGGTGGTTGAGTCCCCGTCAGTTCTACATAGGTTCAGTTCGATAATATAGATAAAGTCACAATAAACAAAAAAAAAGAAAAGAAAAAAAGATAGTAGTCATATGTCACGTGCATTTCACGTGATTATAATGTCAAGAAATATAATTTTCTTATACATTAAAATTTATTTGAGAAAATTTTAACAAATTTAATGTTTGCATGTTTTTATTTTCTTTTTCTTTTTCTTTTTCATCTTATTTAACTAATTGTCATTAAAAACATTATTTTAAAAGAAAAAAGGATTACAAAATGTTATATCTACAAATTCATATAAATTCTCCAGAGAAGCTTTTACAAATGAGCATACATTCAATTTTAAATAGGGATAATTTTAGAAACCTCCCTTGAGGTCTCTGACAATTTAAGTCCATTCCCCTCAGGTTTAAGAAATTACACTTATCTCTTTTGACATAGTAAAATACCTATAATGCCCTCCATTTGCTAGACAATTTTTAATTTAAGGCAATAAATTTTTTAAATCTAAAAAAATCTATTTTTTGTCTCTTGTCTTTTTTTGCTTGTCTATTTCTAGTTAATCTAACCTCTTTTTATTATCTTCAGTTTTGTGGATATTAGCAAATTGAAATTACAAAATCTATAGAGGGAGTAGATTATGTGTCAAATTAGAAGAAAAAGAAAAGACTCATAGTGATAGAAAAATAAATAATGAAATTGATGATTGAAATAGGGAGAAGAATTAAAGATGTGAAATTTGTTATGTTTTATTTGTTGTTAAGAAAAACTTTTATAAAATGTCAATAATTACATAGGGATTTCTTTTATTGGATTAGAAAATTTTTATTATGAATTTATTGTGGAGGTATAATTTATTCTCTAATTTTGAAATATTAATATTTTTAAGGCCATAGGAGAATTGTAATGGTGATTCTAGATTAGATTAACTTGTATTGAAAAGGTATTTGACCATTAATGTTTAATTTGGGGGTATAAAATTGGTTGCCAAGGGGGTTTGTGTGTGTTTTTTCTTTTTTCTTTTTTTTAGCATAGCAAGTATTGATACTGTATATACAATTTGGGATCTTTTGAACGACTACTTGATTTTAGAAGTTATACTTGAATGGTTGTTAGGAATTAGACCTGTTGATTTGTGTAAAGTGTGGAAGAAAATGATTGAATGTTTTTCTTTCTCAGTTTGGTACAAAAGGGCAACTTTGGTTTTTTTTTTGAGAAAATCTAGCTTGTTGAACCTATATTATTACTAAACAGTAAAAGTATGGGAGGTATATGTAATTTTTAAAACTTGAGAGGAGCTCTCTGTAATTGTTAGAAACCTCAGGAGAGGTTTGTGAAATTATTCCTTTTAAATAATGGTTTTGAGGACAATTAATTAAAAGAGATGAAAAATTAACATGAAAAAAAGATTTGACCAAATATGAAATGATTTGACAAAAATATCAATATTTTGAATGGCATGTATAATATCAATATTTCTAGTTTTTCTTTTGTCCTTTCTTTTTTTTTTCATGACGAACAAATTATGATAACACTGCTGAATTTTTTTATTTTTAATTAGATATATGGCTAATTTTTTATTTTTCTTTTGAAGTTGGATGACCTAAATTTGCATGCTAAGTAAAAATTATTTGTTTGCTAACCACTAGAGTCGGTCCAGTGTTTAAGGAAAGCTCTTAGAATTCTCTTCGATATCAAATTCAGGTTCGAATTTTATACTTAGAGATGAAAAAGATGTGGTCAGGGCTGGTAGGGTAAAAGAATAAAATAAAATAAAATAGAAAATACTTGTTTGCATAAATATTTGGTGCATGTTCTACCATTATTATTTTTCATGTTAGATAAGTTGAATTTTTCAATATCTTGATGAAATTCCTTGATAAAGTTACATGCATCTTTTTTTGAAAATGAAGAGATGTATATTCTTAGAAGTTAAACTCCTTGTATTATTTTGTGTGTTATTTCTATTAACAATGGAGTACAAATGATCCACAACATATAAATTTTTTCTATCTAATTGTTATTTTGGAGAATTGAAATTTCATTGAATAAGATAATTGAGTTTTTTATTTTATTTTATTTTATTTTTTATTTTTTATGCAGGATCTGCATAAAACACAAACGAACGAAGAATCTGTTATCCTGAAAGCACCTTGTTTTGGTATTAATAGCAATATTTTTAAAGATTTGAAAATTAATTAGCCTGTGACTAATCATGAATTTTTAGTGAAAATAGAATGCCAAGAGAAACATTAGGTTGGAATGTTATATTTTGTTTATTGTGTTCATAATTCAAATTTTATAAAGGACAATTTTTTCCTAACTATGACAATTATTGCTATTATTAAAAGCAATAAATCTAATTATTAGGGAGAAGAGTATTTTGGACAAATAGACAACTAAGACCAATACCTGGTTAGTCTTAATGCTTATTGTCATTAACTGTTATTTTCTTCTAAATCAAAAGATATGATATAATGAATTTTAATCATCATAAAAAATTAAAAGAGTGTAATATGAAACTTCAATCATCAATTAATAAAAGCATAATTAGAATAATAAAAACTAAGATCACGTAGAGTTGCACTCCAAAATACTTATGGTACTTTTTATAGGGAGATGGGTACTTGGACAAATAGAAAACTAAAACAAATTTGCTTAGTCTATAATGCTTATTGTTATCAACTATTATTTATTCTAAATCAATAGATATGATATAATGAATTTTAATCATCACAAAAAATTAAAAGGGATATAATACAAAATCTCAATCATCAATTAATAAGAGTATAATTGAAATAGCAAAAACTAAAATCGCTCACACTTACATTATAAAGTACCAAGACTCGTGGCACCTTTTATATAGTCATGATAGTCACAATAATAAATCCCTCGAGAGAGTGAGAGTCGCCTCTTTTAAATTAACCTCTACTTCTCAAATATTTTTTTTATCAAACGGCAATATCTACTCTACTTCTACTTCTATTCCTATTTTATAACCAACTGAACCAATTGAAGAATTATAAAGAATTAAACTACTATTGAATCAGACAAATACACAATGCATCCATATGAATTTTGAAAAAATCGAGAACTAAAGAAAGCAATAGGAGGCAAGATTTAAATATTTAACCTTCCACTTCAATAAAATTTAAAAGTCTTTGCTGATGGCACTTAAAGTCTTTGGTGGCCAACAGCTCAAATATCAAGGAGTTAAAGTAGATCTGGCTAGTTATTTTGAACTGGGAGGGCTGATTGACTTTGCTTCATTTGTGATCGTGATGTGAATGTTGAGTGGGTTCCACTGTGGCTCTCATTGATTTTGGTACTAGCTTAGTTTAGGAGTTGTGATTTGACGAGAAAAAAAGGAAAGTGACGGGAATGACATTTTCTCCAATGCCTAGGAGTCTTTGTTGAGCAGAAAGGATGTAAAGTGTATGATTTTGACAGATGAGCTCCTACAGTCCTATTGCAATGGTTGTCAAAGCATTTGGGCGGAAGGCACAGGAAAAGTTAAGAATGCCAAAAAAATTTTTTAAATGCTAATTTTGTGCGTTCAAATGTGTCTTGAACAAATTTTTATTATATGTATATATCCAAAATCATTCTTTTTTTTCAACCATAACTCTCAAATAATATTAAAATCTTTTATCTTCTTTTTTTTTTTTTTTATAACTTAACATTTCCCATCATTTCTTTTCTAACCTAAACTTAAAACTAGATGTTAGAATTCGGATTGTGTACTCATAAGTATTATCCGTTCGATTCTTTGTCAAGATTAGTCCTTGTTGTAAAAGCCATTTTTTTTACAGACCTTACAAGGCACTTTCATGATTAACTGAGATACCAGAAATGGAATTATGAAAAAGTATAAGATTCCTGTTTTATGCTTCCTATTTCTGTTTGGATTTTCTTCCACCAGTTCTCTTATAGTTGGAACAGGTTTGGAAGACACAGAATGAATCAATAAAGTCCCAATCCTTCTTGTTATGCATTTATAATATCGCACACATATTTTTAGGACAATCGTGTAAGCACAATACCTGTTCTGAAGTCAATGTCAATTTTTTTTTCATCTTTCATCTGTTTGCAGGACAAGTGGTCTTCGGCTTATGATTGCAGAACTATTCTTCTATCAATCCAGAGTCTTTTAGGAGGTAAGGAATTTCTTTTTGGTCGTTCTTCTTTTTTTCATTTTTCCTTTGCTTTTACTTGTAGATTCTAGAAATCTTTTTTCCACTTGTCATAAACATGCAGAACCCAATAATGAAAGCCCTCTCAACAGCTCTGCTGCTGCACTTTGGAAAAACCAGGAAGGTTAGCTTCCCGTTCTATCTGAACTTTGATGCCAAGCCTATGCATTGCTCTATTCTACAGATTGTTCAGTAAATCTTGTCACTAATTTCCTGCAAGAATAAGAAACTTTGTATGGCTGGATGTCTGTCTGTCAAAGGTTGCTTATATCTTAGTTCGCAATCACATGATCCTTTAAAGGGTACTCAGTTGGAGATCCCAAGAGATTGTGGCCATTAGAACTCAAAATAATCTCATTTGAAATTTCGCATTGGGACTACAGTATTTAATCTTTTGTTTCAAGTGTTGATTGTGGGACTAAATTAGCATTCTGAGCCTGTATTTTGCGAGGCACAAGCTAATTAATTAGTTTGACTACTTTCAGTTTCAAATTGAGTTTCTTACCTTGTATGTAGGTTCTGTAGCCCAAACATTCTTCAACACAGTAGTATTTACGTCCCTTAATGGAATGTGGTAGTCCCAAATAGAAGCTGCTCTCCAGGTCCATTCGTCTTTCGATTCAACGGTGATAATTCACATTTACATCATTGGGTCTGATGTTTCAATTTCTTTTTTAGCTCTAAATTTGTAGAAACCGGAGATGGCTACAATGGAGACAAGCAGGGCAAAGGTGGTGGCTATAAATGCTGAGGTTCGACGCGTAAAGGCCAGATTAATGGAAGAGGTTCCTAAATTGCAGAAACTCGCCCAGAAGAAGGTGGATTCCCTTTTTTTCATATTTTCTAAAATTATGTTTCATATTTCATAATTTAAGATTATTTTGTTAGTTGTTCTTAATTGATTTGCAATTGCAAAAACTGCAACCAAAAAATGCGATGTTTCAGTTTTTTGCCTTCCGTTTCATTTTTATTTTTCGTGCTTTGTGAATAATCCATCTTGTACTAATTATAATTTGAGAGAATTCTGATGTTGGAATTATTTTAATGGCCATGAACAGAAATTATTCTGATGTGTGTGTGTGAGGTAGAAAGTTGAAATCATAGAGAAGTACTGAAATTGTTGAAGGAACTTTTAATGTTTAGTCCCGCTCAAATTGTCTGAGGATCAGGTCTGGATACACTGAAAAATCTGGGTCAAGATATGAATGAGGTTAGCTGTAGCATTTATCCATGTGTTTATGCTTGAGATGCTGCTGGGAATTGATCACTTTTATTTATCTCATTCATGATACAATTTTTTTTTTTTGGGTTTCAGGAGCTTGATAGGCAAGTCCCCTTAATTGATGAAATTGATACTAAGGTTTGAAAAACGGGTACTTGTTTTTTTGTTTTTTCATGAAATTTCTGTCACAATAATGATTTTGAAGATTTTCATGGGATGCATTCTTTGGTATTTACAGGTGGACACGGCAACATCTGAGCTCAAAAACACGAACGTTAAACTCAAGCACACGTGTGACTATGTTTGGATCTTTCAGTTTTTCAAAAAAAAACTGGTCGTGACCCATGAATTACTATTATTTAGAGCATGCTTTTGCATTTATGGATTTTGTGTTGACTAGTCTCCTGAAATTGTTCCAGATTAGGTCCAGTCAAAACATGCGTACCGACATCATTCTTTTATGCATTCTTCTTCTCGGAATTGCTGCCTACTTGTACAAGTGAGTTACTCAACCTTATCGTGAACGTGCTATGTTTCCCATGTGTTATGTTGGTTCGGTCTCATCGCATGGAGGCTATGAGCTGCTGGTGCCCATCGCAGGAAGGTACTTCTAAATAATGCTGAGTTATCGTCCCTTATTGACCACTCACCGCTCTCCCCATTAACATCACTTTCTTCTGTTAGTTGCTGTGAAGTGAAAGAAAATTACTGTATACTGTCTTTAGCTATTAATTACTATGATTTTATACATGTAGAATACCAACAACTACATCAACACATTTTGTTTTTTCTGCATGAATTGCTATTGCAATCCACCTGAAATCTCAATGGAAGCTGACAAATTCAATGGAAAAAAAAAAAAATCTTACTTTTAAAATTCATGGTATCATCATGACAAAATGCTGTTTTTATCTTTGGCAGTATACCGACTAAGTAGTCAAAATGTTCTCATCTCTCTGATGATCTTCCAGTCTGGTACTTGCAGTCGCTTTGCTGGATTTCGACCATCTCTGACGCATTTCTCGTACCAACTTCAGTGAATCCTGGTTTACTTTACCGCTTTAAGGGGCATTATCTATTTAGACGATCGTGTTTCCAGGTAGATGTTAGTACTGGCTGTTACTTTTGTGCGAAAATATAGTAAATTTGATGATTAAAATCTGTGATGATTATTATTATCAAACTACTGTAAATCACTGGTCAAAACCCTTGAGCAGAATTTGCTTCCTCTTACAATGTTGGGAGAGTTGGTGCATGAATCTTCATTGAGCTTCAATATGTCTGACTTGGGGATACAGCTTCTTGTTACTTTGATCAGATCTGTCTATTAAATTTGTAATCACGGCAACTAAAGTACTTTCATTCACTGCATCTAGCTCTCTGTTTTTCTCTTTAAGTTCTGAAAAATTTTCACCCGTATAATGTACTTTAGGGTCACATATATAGCTGATAGGAAGCGCTGCGTCACTCCACATCAGTAAACTCCTCAATTATTTACTTTCTACATTGTTCTTCCATTTCATATTCAGAGCTACCAATAGTCGTGCCCATGTATAGATCAACTTGGCTTTCAGGTTGAAATTACATTGGCAAAGCTGAGTGAAGGAAAAAGAGTTAGCAGGCTCGGCAATTAGTTGCATTTGAATGTACTGTGCTGAATAACTGAGTCGAGTCTACAACGTAAATGTCAAAGTTTGCAACATAATATACAACTTAAAAATGGAAATGAAAGACGCCATAGGCAAGCAAACTATAGGTTAGCAAACAGAAAAAAAAATAATAAAAGCACACATTATTTATTAAGTTCACAAATACTAGAAAAGGGGCAATAGCATTAACGCCATCCATCGGTACACAAAGACTGATGCTTCAAGCATCATACTGACTACAGTATCATCTATGTGCTGAGAGTTTTGGCGAATTCGGTTGAAGAATGAACTTCAGAGGAAGCTTGCCATTTACGGCAGAAATTTTGCCGCAAATGCAGACACATCAAGCTCCTGTAAAGTCATCATAGCACTAGATAAATTGAGCTTGAACATATCTCCATGAGATTGTTGTTGATTATAGAAGCTTGCACCATTCACATTACCAGCTAGGAAAAACTCATTCTTGTTCAGATTAGTCATGGCTTTCTCGGATGGAGGTATGTTCCCATATCCAATTTCTTCAATAGGTTTTCCCTGCTGATTCAAAGAACTTGGAAAGAAAGAATTTGTCACTTGATTCTCCTCGATTGTTCCATGTTCATATACTGTCTTGCAGTTCTGGGAAATGTTGCTGCTGCAAGAGGTTGCTCTTGTATTTGTCTCAAAACGAGGCAAATCTTGAGTAGCAAGCAGTTTTGCCAACAGGTGACAATCTTTTGATAGGAAATAGCTCGAGCAGATATCTAAGGCGTTTTTTGCTGCGTATGCTGAGTGGAGTTCCTTGAGGTTTGGGGTGTCCTCCGTCACCTTGATGGGACTATGAGGAACTTCCCATGAATTCTTTGACATGTTGCCTTTTTGTCTAATCCGGCATAGGACCCAGTCATCCAACTGCATAAGAGATGGGCCAAAATTTAGCCACAGTTGATTTCATTGATGAAAATGATCCTCTTGTATGTATCAAAGTTGTTTAAAATTGAAACATAAACTATTGTGTCCAACCGCGTTTCAGGGCTTAAAAGGGAGAAGGCTATACTTTTACAAAACTAAAATAGTAAACAAACCCTATAGTTTTCTGGCTCTTGGCGTTGCTTCTACAATAATTGTCGCCTTTTTCATGAATCATGATATGGAGAACACAGTTATCGTCTAGTTCTCATGCATTAACAATAGGCAATATGAATGAGCAGATCAATGTGTTTAGCCAATTACTTACCCTCATGGACCCTGTAGACCTTGATGGCCTTTTATGGGTGTCAGGAAGTCGGTACTCGATCATGATCCAGTCCGTCTTGACTCCGTTCGGAGGTTTTCCGATGTAGAAGACAAGAGCTTTCTTGACTCCTATTCTTGCTCCAGAGCAACTGAGAATAGGTTTGTCAGTTCCGGTAGCCTTCCAATATCCTGAAGCTGCCGTCCTGTTAGGCCGTGCACCATTTGGGTACTTCCGGTCCCTCGGGCTGAAGAAGTACCATTCTTCCTCTCCAAACAATGCCTTCTCTGTTCATTCCAAATATAAAAGTGAGTCACAATCACTCAATAAAACTACTAAATGGACATAAATTTTACAAATACATAACAAGTAGATAAGTTGGAGAACAAACTTGGCAAGTCCCAAGGATTATAGCTATAAAGCTCGATTTCACCTACAACAGCAGCTGGCAGTGGACGAGAATTCACTTTGTTGTGGAGATAATAAACGATGAGCTCTTCGTCAGAAGGATAGAATCTGACTCCGGGAGGAAACTGGAAGCTAGAAATGGGTTGTGTCTCCATTGGAACAAGTCCCTGGATCCTATTCGCCTGGTGATCAGCAGGCTGGCTACAAAGTACAAAGAGTGGTGAAGTGTACATGTGTGTGTGTGTGTGTGTATATCCCCTGGAGAAACTTTCTATCTATGTTGTGGCAACAATTCTAAGCTTTATAACGCGTAGTACATAAGTTCATGCAGATGGGGACGTTCCTTTTTAAACAGGAAGCGACGAGAGGGATATACAGGAGCATCCAAGATTTGTAGGAATATATACAAGTCGGACCAATACAACCAGCTTTTGTTTCTTTGCATTTGTTATTGGGATCATGCTTCATGCGCAGCAACGTGTGAACATGCTAATTTTTATTTTGTTTTACGAAAATAAGGTTGAAACAAACCTTGTGATATGGAAAATTAGAGACTACTTTTAGGTATTGGTTTTTCTCTATTTATCATTATTCTATCTCCTTGTCTCTAGTTCTCTATATTTTGAGGATTTTCAATCCCTAATTTTTAGACATTTTCTCTAATCTTTAAAATCCCAAACGTTACCGAGAAATTGAATTAAATGTCACTGATACTACTATAATAGAACATCACTTTTAATTAAATTGAATTCGTTGCATTAGCTTTCTCCTAATCCATTTAAACATTCCTACTGTACCATTTATCTTCCTGGAAGCATGTAGTCATTAATGAACTCATTGAAATTGTTAATGACTAGAGGTTAGAATGTTGGTTTGGAATCATAGAGAGTTGTAAATATAGTTGTTAAATGACTTATTGAGATTGTTTACCATGATGGGTTAGAATGTAGATTTTCAAAATTGTTAAAGGACTCATTGAAGTTTTTACTATGAGGGTTTAGAATGTAGGTTTTTAAACCATAGAGAGTTAATAATAAAAATTTATTGAGATTATTTATTAAACCATAGAGAGTTAATAATAAAAAATTTATTGAGATTATTTATTACGAGAGCTAGAATGTTATTTTTCGAGCTATGGAGGGTTAAATTGAACATTTAGCAAATCACAATAGGCTTTTTGGCATTTAATCCTATTGTTTATAAAGCGCACTTATGACATTTCACACGCAACGGTCGGCTTACACAAAATTTTTCCTCGTATGGATAAGTAGGCTCAGGTATTACAATTTATTTCATGTGAACTCAAATTGAAATATAAAATTAAAATAATATTGACTCGTATATCAATGCTAAAATACATATATAGTACGGGAGTCTCTTTTTTTTTTTTCTTTCTTTTTGAGCGCATTATGCCAGAATTTGATATGGAATATACCAGAAGTTGCACTCTCCCTAAAAACTCTTCTTTTTTAATCTATTTTAATAAACAGTTTAAGTTTCATGATCAAGTAATAAAACTTACATCTTAATTGTGTTTGGATAGTAAATTATTGTATCATAAAACTGTTGGAATCCTCCATCTATGCCACTATTTAGTGCCAAATCCAGTGCCAATCTCACTTATCACGTGATGATAGAAGAAATTTAAATAAATAACACATGACAAATTAAATAAACAGGACACTTGACATAAATATAGAAGTGACATTGAATTATCACTGGAAAAGTGGCACTGAGGATCCTGTGGACTTTTAATGTGAATATTATGTCGTCATAGAGTTTGGGCCCCTCATATATATTTTTTATTCAATAATTGGAAATTTTCTTTGCAACTAACTCGGTTTTAAGCATGTTTGGCCACCACAGCTTCCTTTTGTTTGGCAAGTAGCTAGAGGGATCAAATTTCTCAGCTTGTACTTAATTCAGAAGGCTATTAATTGTGTCAACACCAATAAAGAAAATATAGAATTCACCAAGACTGGCTAAAATGACATTCGATCTAAATAAATTTTCGAGTGAAATGTAATCAGAGCACTATTAAGGGAATTAAGGAACGTGGTCTCGAAATGGTTATCTAACGTTAATCTTTTGATTAAGGACATTGATATTGTGTGTGTGTGTGTGTATATATATATATATACATGAATGTAAATGTAGCTAGAACGCAACAAAGAAGTTTTGTTTCGATTTTGTGTCAATTTTTTTTATATAGATTGGAATCAGGAGGACGAATTTAAAGAACATACTTCTACTACTGTTGAACAGAAGCAGTGAGCCCTATGAACAATTCTTATGCGAATTGAATAATTTTCTGTAAGTTCTATAGCCAACTAATAAATTCTTGAAGTTTTCATAAAGAAAGTACAATGTTTGACAAGATCCAGCATGGCTTTTGTACCAAACAATCATCGTCATGTCGTAGCTAATCATGACTATGTGGAGCATTTCAGTCAAATATGCCTTGCAAATAATGCAGGGAGATGTTCAATCAATCTTGATATTCCCTTTTCTTATATATCAGAGGAGAATTTTTGTTTTGGTTTTTTTTTTGGGATGCGGGGGGGGGGGGGGGTGGGGAGGGGGTGTTGGAGCATCGGTATTTTCATAATAGTCTAAATTTTCCCAATAAAATTCCACATATTGCATGGCCTTTGGATCAGGAAAGAACAGGTGTTGGAAGAGCAGACACGAGAGACTCTGTAGAGCTCTCTCCCAGCTCCCTCCAGTCATTCATGCACGCAGAGGAAAGATTATATGCTGTTAAACAATAGATCGTAAATTAAAATTTACAAGAATAGATTTTATGCGTCCACAACCATTTGCTAAAGTACCCCGCTCCTCCCCCCCCCCCCCCCCCAAAAAAAAAATCGCCTAAGGGGTTGTGAAGTTCTTGTAAGGGGAATACATGGTTAGCAAAAACAAGAGGGGAAAAAGGAAAAAAAGAAAAAGCTGAAAACCTAATGTCTAATCTAGCCTCAACAT